TACAAGATAAAACATTACAACAAACTACTTTCTCTATCCCAAATTATAAGACCTTTTGTTATTCCAAGTACTGTATGAGAGTTAGTCAGTCTTGATTATTGTTCGTGTCTTCTTCTTTCTAGTGTCATCATTTTCTTTTGGGCAGGACATGCCTATCTTTAATTTGCATATTTTTATACGGATCATTTTCTATGTCTTTGATTAACATCCAACAATCCTCATCTCACCTCTCACATATTACACATACTAAATTTGCCCCGACTTTGCACTTAGATTGTAAACTTTCCATATTCCAAGTACCTATTCCAAGGGAAACCTAGCACTTACTGTTTATGCATTATTCCAAGTACTGTATGAGGGAGGCTTGGGAACTTTTGTTATTATCATTTTCAATTTCTACCTATGTGTTTCTTTTCTGTTTTATGGACTGGAAACAAAATACTTGCATTATTTAAAGACGTTGAAACAACATTTTTATTACCAGTATTTTGAACTGGTATTTTTGTGAAAGGCTATTGATCAACCATTTCAGTGTTATATCATGGTTGCACATATTTGTGGTTAAAATACTTTTAGATCTGAGAACTTCACTAATTTTCTATCCTACTGAAAATTGCTGCCATGGGATGCATGCGGCCAACTTGGTGTAACTTTCACATTATACTACTCCCTCCATTAATTATCGCTGTTTTAATACAAATTTAGTAAGTTATACTAAATCAGCGACAATTAATATGTATCAGAGGGAGTGTTTAATTATCTTTTTTAGCATATTCTTTATGTAAAATTATAGCCATAGCAAGCGTTGGATAACATAAAATGTTAAAATGACAGACATTTTAGAAATGCAGTGAGTAGTATCATAATGAAAACCACATTGCAAAGAATGTATTCTTTGAACATGAAGATAGTTCTTCATGGCAAATTAGATAGAAACCATCGACTAGAATCTTTTGGAAATCTGCGTGGCCGGGTTGTAGAATATGACATATCATGGAAGAGGCCGAGCAAAATTGAGGGGTGTAGCGGAGGAAGGGTAGCTAGGTTTGATTTTCTTGCGCGGTGGTTGAAATCATGGTTAGCAAGCACTCTTGCAAAATGTAGTGATCGTTTATTAATAATATTCATGTACTGTCCACATTTCAATATACATGAATTTTTATCATATGGGGTCAAATTAATGTATATTTTACTAAAACTAACAAATAAATTATGTAGAAATTGTACCTTTGGATCAGTTACATCTAATAGAATTTGTCAATATCTAAAAGATCATCTATTTTTAGCAAGGAAATTCTATTATTATATTTCTCTATAGCAACGCATGGGCAGTTAACTACTGCCTTTGTCTCATAATGTAAGACATTTTTGCAGTTCAATTTTAACTAGCAAAAGGACATGAAATAATTCATTGTCCCTTACCTTCTTGAGTCTTCTATACATCCGAGAGCATAAACTGCACCAAGGTTGAAATCGATCACGTTCTCAAGCCTGCAAAGTATAAGGATTACATGCACTGTTACATTAAGAAACTGAAAAGATATAGAGTATATGTAGTTTTAGCACTAGCTAGATAGCCGTAAAGGCACAATGCTTACTTATAGGTAATGGAGCTCCACAAGTTTACGGTTCCGTCAAGTGAACCTGTGATTAAAAGCGCAAGTCCTTGGTGCCATTTGGCGGCACTAATATGGTCTGTATTCCCTTTTAGCTTATGAACACATTCTTTCATCCCCAATTCCCATATCTAATTTAACAAGAAGAGAAAGATGAAATTAAAAACAATTACCAATTCTATCTTGTAAGGCAATTTAATTCATACATAGCTACTGTACCTCTTTCACAAACTAAATTAAATTCTGGCATCGTTCTAACTTAAATCGTATAAGTTTGATCAAGTCTATAGAAAAGTATATCAACATCTATAATACCAAATTAGTTTAATACTTTAATTTGATCCATCATAACATACATGTTCATGCCATATGCATTTGACATCGTAAGTACTAACACAATGTTCTATAAACTTAGTCAAACATAAAGAAGTCTTGACTTGGGATGAGTAGCTAACATTAATTGAGATTAACTGGAATGGGGTGAGTAGCTAACATTAATTGAGATTATGCATCTTCATTGTTAAGATCAAGTGTAGGAGGCAATGAGATATAAAAGAGACGACACCTGTGTTGTCTTGTCCTCACAACCCACGATCAGATGTTGTCCATTAAAACGGGTGAAATAATGAACACAAAGCAGGCCTTCGGTTACATTCCCATCCAATTTCAGTGTGATGATGTTGGCGTCATCAGAACAAATACTCCATATCTATACAAGTTAAACCCGCAAATTAATTAGAAGAAGTTAACACAAGTAAATAAATAAAACAGTTTAAAGCAAGCAAACCTTGACCGTGCCATCCCAAGAAGCGCTAGCGAAACTGTCGTTGTCTTGTGGGTTAAACGTTGCTTGTGTTACCCTCTCAGTGTGGCCCTGAAATGTTCGAGTACATTTCCACTCTTTGTCCCAATCCCAAAGCTTGATCAGGTGATCATTGTCCTCAGAAGACGAAGACAAGATAAGAGGACGTGCCCGATGGACGGCCAAAGTTGTGATGCAACTTTCATGAGCCTCGAAGCTCTTGACGTGTTGGTTCTTGTCGTAGTTGTACACGTGGATGCCCCCGTTGCCATCACCCGCCACGAGCCACTTTTTCCGTGCGATATATTTTGCCATATGAACTGCACATATTCAACGGGAATATACGTATGATTTAGCAAGGTGACGTGTGAGCAACAAAACTGTACTCGATCAGTTAATCTAGTTGAACAGCATATTCGTGCCTGGTTCATCTGTGATGTCTCCAATTGAGTTCAACGGTGCCTGCAAATGCATACCTTCAGTTAGTACATACGTCGAGTTGAGAATATGCGCGGTACTGTGTATTCTTCTTACAAAGGAATTGGCAGGAGCATGTGTCTTTCTATTTAGAATATATAAGTAGAGTTTTTGATTTATTGGAATGGTTTAGTAAGGTCAAAACAAGAATCACTGAAACAACATGCCGACTACTCGTGATTTTTTTTTTGACTCACGTGGGAAGGGTAACGCCGACAAAGCTGGCATCACAAAGTCTGCCTACTCTGCTCAATTTGTTAGTTGTCGGTCGGTCGACTGGAAAAATCCCGGCCTCCAAAACTGAGCAAAAAATCAGGATCTTTTCGTGGCTAGTTCTTCATGGGAGAATTCTCACCACAGAGAACACATCAGTCATCACTAGAGTTACTAAGCTCCCTTGAAATAGCGAGCTCTCAGGCCTCCGATATATTTTTTCATTGTTGCCCCTCTGTCCCATGGATCCGTTTTGTCAGGTCGGTTCATTTTCACCGGTGACAAATGAGTTGAGTTTCTCCATGAGGTCATCTTCCTGAACCAGACCCACGAATTCCATCCATATCTTGCGCCGCCGCCGCCTCTCTCCTCTGCCTCGCCGTACCTTCCACGCGGATTTGTGTGATCTCCGGGCGCGGTACTCAGCCTGTGGGCGGCTCCCCGCGGCAGGGAGGCGCGGCACCTCACGCCGCCCATGTTCCTCTCTCGCTCTCACCATCACGCCACCGATCCCCTCCCCTCCTCCACCCAGCGGATGCTCCGACCTCTCTTCTCCTCCTCATGGATGCGTTCCCTCACCTCTCGCGGCGCCTCCTTGGCTCATCCGCTGGGCGAACTCCATAACCCTCTCGGCCCTTCCTTCTCTTGCCCCCTTGGCGCGCACCAAACTCCCATGTGCTTCCCCTAGCGGACCACATCAGATTCACCTGAACTTTGATCGTTGTTTTTCTTTTCTTTTCATGGCTTTCTTGATCTTTGCTACTTGGTGTTGAGCATGGACGGTCAGCACAACAGTATGGAGATCCAAACCTTTACTTTATGTCTGAACTGTTCATGGCTCAAGTCACATAGGTTTGTGCTTCTTTATTCTGAACTTTTCACGGTTCAAGTCACATAGCTTTGTGCTTGCGAGTCCGTCATCGTTGTATCTTTTGATAGAACCTACTCCCTCCGTTCCAAAATAGATGACCCAACTTTGTACCAAAGTTAGTACAAAGTTGGGTCATCTATTTTGGAACGGAGGGAGTATATTACTTGATTATTGTCCTGTTCGAGTACATGTACATGTCTTATTCTACAGGTGAGGTGTAGTTTATTTACAGGATATTCAAGGTAATATTGATGTAATTTCTCCATGAAAACAGAACTTACGGAAATTGAAATGAACATATTAGTTTTGAAGGTTATGCAGGTAAATTACCATCATAAAGAATTGCTACTTATAAGTCGAGAACTAACTGAAGCTTCTTCAACCTAACACAATTTGCTACTCAATGAATTTCTGCATATCTGAAGCTTGCAAATATTCTGACACAACTTCTTTATGCTGAAGAATTATCTGAATGTGTCAAGCCTCCAGTTACAGGATCATATATGATTGGGACCTTTTGGGTGAGTGTGGGAGAGGGATTAGGGGGGTAGTAGGTTCAAGTTGTTGTAATGTGAACTAAATAGTATTTGCTCATTCTTTTTTATGCCATTGTTGTTGTTTTTGAATGATATCTCAATCAGACATAGTGTCGATGCAAATGTGTGCATATTTATTAGCGTATTCATCCATTTCTCCTATTTGTTCATGGCGTAAAGCATAGTCCTGTGATCTGAAGTCATAGAATTACTTTTTTGTTCTATTGTTGTTTTTCTGGGCAAATCATCTATCTTGCTTATTGACTTCTTTTTATTTTGTTCAGGAAAGGTCATACCGGTTTTGAGTTCTCTCCTGTGAAATGTTTTTGGATCAAGATGGTTTTAGACTTTCAGGAGGAATTCGTATGTAGGTTTATATTCCCTTGTGGATGAAAAGGTACATGTATACACTATATGATTGTAGTGAGCTTGATGTTTTGTTTGGGAGTTGATTGGTTCACTCTTTTCCTTTCATGCATGTGATTCCTATGTTATAGGCTCGGTATTCGAGAAAAATGTTATAGGCTCGGGTGCTCTTTTTTTAGATGGTCAGATGAAGAGGTTTCCTCTCCTGGTATTTTTTGGATAGAGAAAGAGATATCTATTTGCATTAGTATTGGTGGTGTCCCTGTCCCAGTTCTATTATCAGGAGTCATTGAGCAAGATGATTCACAAGAAGTTATGCTTTGAGTTGTCTTTAACAAGATACCAAGAAGAAAAAGCTGAAGCTAGATGTTCGTGTTTGAGTTATTTGCAATATATGTAGACAAAAATTTCCGCCGGGAATGGGCATTTTCTTAATGAGATCACCGAGTTACCTCTTTATCATGTTTTGCATTATGTACTGACAGAATATTCTTACATGGGGTCTGTCATCTTCTACTAGCCTTAGTTTAGTGCTATATATTGAAGAACTTTTCATTCATTTCTAATTTACTTTTGGTACGAAGCTGCAGGGTGATGGAGTACACTGTCTTGTGCCCAAAGGCTTACTTTCCAAAATTCAGCAGCTGGCGTCTGAAGGTCGTGTATGTTATCTACAGTTCTTTCAGACTAGCCCCGCGAAAAGGCAGGTCCGGTTCATGTACCTTAGATTTGAATTGCAGTTCCCTTCTGTCAAACCTATAGATGCCGTGCCTGAAGGTTTTCCTCTATAATTTACAGGCTTGAGATATTTCAGGTCAAGATTCAACTGGTCGATTCTGGGTACAGAATTCTTGAGGTTGATCAGTATGTTGAATGCATTGCTGAATGAGGACGTCGATTTGAGACGGACAAGGAATCTACTATGCACCGCACAACTATGTCTCGGCACAACAGATACCGCCTCCAACAAGCAAGAGCGAAGCCAACGGAAGGAAACACCACCAAACGCAACTTAAATAAAACACAACGCAATGGAATTGAAACCATGGTGAACCAACTGACCATGATAATCCACGAAGAAAAAAGGGAAGTTGAACCCAGAATCTAAAAACGGCACGGCAAAGCGCGCGTCACCTTCTAGTGCAATCTATGCTTGGTGGAATGTACTCTAATTCGGCACTCACAAATATTCGCCTCCAGGCCACCATTAGTCTTTTCTTTCGCACGTAGTTGGCATGTCGTTCCTTTTTTTCATAGTTTAACCGCACTAAAACCGGTTCTGTAATCATAATTCTACTTTTCGAAATAGAAAGACAACGCTTATGCTAGTTCCTTGAAAAAAAAACGACTAGTGCACAATGCATATATGACCCTGACAGAACTGAAGATTAAGAACACACATATGTACACCCACCATTGTATTGTAGTTCCAAACACAAAGGTTTCCCAAGCGATTCGTTGCCATAATCCTGCATATTAACTGTTTGCAAATGATCGACAAATATATGTATAGTTGTACTAACTGCTGTACATACCAAGTAGCTAAAACGAACACACCCACTTACCATGGTTCCGTTGGATGCACATCTATGGATGAAACTTGCTGAGCATCCGACCTGATTATGACCTGCAAGAATCAAGGCCAACACAAGCTAGATTGATTAAAAAGACAAATCCGACAAAAGAACGAAGGCAAGCACCTCCATCGACTGGCTGCTGCCATATTGCCCAAAGCCACACTACTAGAATATGCTGCAATAATGACCAGTCGTTAGGGATGGTAACAAAATTTGGGTCATTAATGATATTATGATTCTGCGGATTAAGTGGTTGTTGCTGGTCAAATATGTTTCTTGAGCTCACTATGTAAACAAATATTTTTCTCTCTGACACATTTTGCATTAAGGGGCCAAGAGTCGATCTGACTCTTGCTGGAGCTATTCCAGCACCAGCAACAGAAACTATATTAACTTGAATTGGAATCAATAACAGATGCAAAATCGAACTGTTCGTCTTCCTCATTGGTTATTTCTCTCAAATCTATGACCTCCCATGTGCCTCCTCGCTACTGCTACCCGTCAAAATGCCTCTGCATCACCAATGCCGCTCCTCCCGAGCACCAGCCATTCCCCTGCTCGCACCAGCAATGCCTCCTTTACTGCCCTCCTCTTTTGACACCAGCAATGCTCGATTCCCAGGTGTGCAGATCTGGCCAGGCACCTAATCTCCACTAATTCTTAGCTTATGCGTGACTAATTAGACTGAAAAGTTGTATGTCTTTGTGTTCTTCCACCCAGTTGATTGGTTGTACTGGCCTGAGTAAAATGATTATAGCATAGGCAGCTGGGAGTCCGGCATGCAATTTCTGTATGGCCATATGCTAATTGCTGATTTGCAACTATCAAACTTCTTGATTCTTTACTGGCCTGAGTAAAATGATTATATCACTAGGGAAATCTGAGCTTCCATAAACCGCATATCAAATGCAGAAGAGGTAATTCTATGCTTGTTTTACATGTTTCTTGAGCTGGAAAGGGAAGTCAGCATTTGGAATATCTACAAGTAGCTCTGCATCATGCATGTCAGATTATAACCATGTCAGAGAAAGACATGTCTTATTTCCGCTTCCATTTGTATTCCCAACAAGAGGTTATCATCATACTCCATTCAGACATTCTGCAAGGGAAATACCAATGCAATACAAGTTTGCTACTTTCCTGTGATAACTCCTTCACCCCGAGTTGCGGTTTTCAGTTTGAGAGTTCATGAGTCAAGTTTGAAGGATTTCAAATGTTGCTCGCTCTGCTTGGTCTGCTCCGATTGCTGCAACTGATCCCTTGCAATTCTTTTCCTTTTTCCTTTTTTTTTTCTCTTTTTTTCTCTTTATTTTTCTCTTTTTTCTCCTTTTTTCCCCCACGGTCTGCACCTCAAACTTAAGAAACACTGCCGCTGCCCTGAAGTTATGCTGCTCAAGCTTCTGGCACGACCACTGGTTTTTTTCCGATGACAATGCCAAGCACCTTCCCGATGCTCTACAGCCACTCGAGAGGACACCATCACCTACAACAGTTGGATTGCTGTCATCAAGCCCAATCCCAGTGTGCAGACCATCAATTCCAAGTGTCATCCATTACAACGACGGAGTACACCCATGTATGCCAGATTGTGCACGAGATTCGGTTACAACTCACAGCATAATGTCCCTGACAGCATCTCCTGGAAATGGACTTCCGATGGCCTCTGCTCAGTCAAGAGCGCCTACCTTCAGCAATTTCAGGGCAGAACAGAGCAAGCTATAATGAGCTTATCTCAAAAGCCCAGATGACCCTCATATGCAAGCTCCATGCCTGGCTGGATATCCAAAATAAATGCCTAACTGCACACAACCTTTGTTATCAGAAAAATTCCTTGCAACCCAACCTAAAATACCGACAGCACAGCTTTTAATTTAATAAAAGGAGAGTCAAGGTCGTCCCTCAAAAAAACAAAACAAAAAGGCAGAGTCAAGGCCTAGTACAGAAATGTTTTTTTAGAGGAACAACAGGATTCTGCTGCTGCGTACATGTATTAATTTTAAAATAAATAATACAAGGTCCAATAAATAAAAAGAAAAACGAAAAGAGAGAAATGAGAAAAAGAGCTGGGGGAAAGAATTCAGATGAGAATTCACTTGTTCATAGCTTCTTGTTTTTTACTCCCTCCGTCCCATAATGTAAGATATATTTTTACACTACACTATTGTTAAGAAACGTCTTACATCATGGGATGGAGGGAGTACCATTTAGCTATCTCACTCAGGCTTGGCTTGAGTGTGTTGTTGTATCTCTCCCGCAAAAAAAAGAAAAAGAAAAAAGAGTGTGTTGTTGTATCTCTCCCGCAAAAAAAAGAAAAAGAAAAAAGAGTGTGTTGTTCTATCTAGTACAAAAATGTTCAAGAGAAGAAATACAACAAACTGCTCCATCAACAGAACATTGAGAGCAGCTGTCACCACTACGTGACTATGGTTACATTTCATCAGTCAGTCTCGAATGGGTGATGAACAAAGCGGAAAATCTTGTTGCGATGAGCCGCATGCCATATGTCTAAGTCCTGCTTCAGTCCATCCAGTGTTTGTGCCCGAGTGAGGAAGTGCCCCTGAATATCCTTTCGTTTCTCTGCTATGTCAGTCTCCAAGATGAAAAAAACAGACTTACAACTTTCACCAGTTCCCCTTCTTCTCTGGTTCAGGCCACCAGCAGGACCACTCTCTTCTCCTGGAGCCGCGTTGGTCACGCCAATCCTTATTCTCCGCTCCAAGCCAACAACACAACTCCTTCTCTCCAATTCTTCTTGTAGGGAACTACCAGTGCGAGCAACCGATGGTCCTACGACAACCTCGCTGGCCACTGAGCTCTGATACCATGAAGCTAGGGGAGTTGATGAAAAATTATGGAATTATCTCTTACTTGTTACAGTGTACATGTATGAGTAGATACACAAGAGTGTACCTTTTGGGTCATACCCATACAGACACTACACACACTCAGCCCACCAAAAATGTAATAAATTAATGGTCGTTGTGTGGCCTATAATGATGGATAATGTTTGTAATTTTGTTCTTCTTAATTACTATTAGCGATCAAATTTAGAGTATTAACGATCCCATCCATAATACACGTATATCTAGAGTTACAGGTTGTTGAGGAATCTACGGATACATCTCAATACATAGTTGAAGGCTTGAACTCCCCGCATATATGCAGAAAAGTCATTGACTTGTGTATTCAGAAATTCATAGAAAAGCCTTCGACTTATGTATACGGGGAGTTCAAGCCTTCATCTCAAACAACCTGCATCCTGATTTATGTCATTGTGATCGGTGATGTATGGAGCTGACCATCCTGGGAAGTTAGCCGCATCAGATTGCTAGAAAATAAGTGTGGACTCCCCGAAATAGAAGATTCCGGAAAACTGTTTCTCAAAAGAGTGTTTAACTGCACAATGAAAAGTACTTGCCCCAGTGGACTAGAAGAACACATGAAAAAATGTGGGTGGGTTGCCGTTGGCCATCGTTGGTATCCCTAGCCTTCTAGCAACCTATAGGTTCACTTAGGACACACTGATGCGGGAAAAACTTTCTACCCCCTGTTCATTTTTGTAAGTCATTTAAGACAGCTGAAATTGAACAGTTTTAGGTGTTGTCTTGAATGTCTAAAATGTCTTACAAAAATGAACGGAGGTAGTACTTCAATTGGTTCTATGGATCGCCATCCTACCCTCGAAGGGACGAGGAATTACCTCGGGCGAAGGTGATCTCCCTGCAGATTTGGTGGCTGGTCGATCACAGATGACCTTCAACGTCGCCACTTGCACCTTATCTCTGGCACCGGGCATCTTTTGGGCTTTCTTAAAGAAGTAGTCATACTCAACGGAGACAACATCTTTGGGAACATCTAGGAGGTCGTGTTGTCCCACTGCGGTGGTGTACAGTGTGAAGAAGTCGCTGCTGTCCGATGATGATGTTGATGCTGTCTGCTGGAGCATTGTGAGACTGAGAGTGTAGACGCACCTTGGAGGCACAATGCCGCAGAGCGGTATCTTCGTCAAGTATCTATCGGGGTTGCTGGCTACAAGCATGAATGCCACGCGGTTGTCTCCTCTGTTCTTTAGCTGCAGCGAGCAGGAGCTCATGGCCTCGTATCTTCCTTTCAACATGAATGGGAAGTAGAGCTCTTGTGGGTGGACTTCAAGCAGCTCAGAGTGTGTTGAATCAATCCGGTTATGTACTGCTCGAACTTCTTCTGGAATCAAGGTTTCAGTTTCGTTCAGCCTATCTATGATATCTCCGATGGAGGGCCTCTCGTGTCTGTCTAACTCCACGCATTTCAGTGCTATCTCCAAGCATTTCTTAATTTGCTGGGAATATCCTTCAACTGACATACCATTCAAAGTTTTCTGTAGCCTCTCCCTCCATTCTTCATGCGCCTGCGAAATTGGATGGAATACAAACCTTGTAAATCGAGTAACCCATGTACAACATCGACACAATTAACGTCAGTAGAGGAAACATAGATGTATTTCCGCTTACCAGCTCGATAAACCTATCTGAAGACATATCAAAATGCCCCGAATATAATCTCTCCCCTGTTATCAGCTTTATGATTATAACACCAAGGCTATATATGTCACACTTATGCGAGATTACTTGTCTTTCAATGAATTCCGGCGACATGTATCCACTGTGTATCAACACAAAGAAACATTACAGTTACTGTCAGTGTAAAACAGATGTATTGGGCACTACAAATAAATAAATAAATAAAGAGTTCACAGCTTAGGTTAGGGGCATTTATCTGACATTGTTCCGATACATCTGGCGTTTCCTTCTCCAACGAGCCTTCGCAGACCAAAATCAGCTATCTTCGGTGTCATGTTATGATCCAGCAAAATATTGCTAGGCTTTAGATTCATGTGGATAATAGGAGTCTTCGATCCCTCGTGGAGGTATCTTAACCCTTCGCTTATGCCCTTGATTATCTGGTACCGTCCGTGCCAACTGAGTCCAGAACTAGCATCTGTAAAGACAGACAAAGATTGCATAAAAAGGTGTTTTTTTTTATTCTTTGAAAACAGAAGGCAAATACATACCTTTGATGTACTGATCAAGGGATCCATTTTTCATGTACTCGAAGCACAACAACCTAATTTTTCGAGGAGCAAATATTTTTTTTTCTTTGTACGGTATAAGAAATTGTTCTTGTTCATAGCAGTAGCCAAGTAATCGTACAATATTTGGATGATTGAGCATCTTGAGGCCCGTAAACTCCTTCTGGAGCTGCTCATCATCAATTTCTCTTATGGGATAGAGCTTCCTCACAGCAATGACCGGTCCATCCCTATCGACCCCCTATTAATTAACACAAGCAATCTTATCTGAGTGGCGTATTCCTAATTTTATCAGTCATGATGACATTTTTTTTTTGAAAATGAGTCATGACGACATTATTGCATATATATATTCTAATGTAAGGTGATTCGGACCATACCTTGTAAACAATGCCATATCCACCTTGGCCAATCACTCGCTCTTCAGAGAAATCATTTGTAGTGTCTCTTAGAAAGCGGAAGGATATAGCCCATGGCTCCACATCCATTAGAGGTTCGCTGTGCCTTTCCAGTTTCAAGTTGAGAATCTGCTCGTGCAAAATTAGTGCAGTCGATCGAGTATTCTAGTTAACTGTGCCTTGTGAAATGATAAGCGTTGCAAAGTAACCAAGGATCATTGGTGTTCTCTAACAAGTTGAGATTTGCAACTATATATCGAACTCGAGATTTGGCAACTTGGCAAATGTTAAAAGAGGAAGAGTTACCAACACTTTTTTTGCGACGAAAACACACGAGAGATAAACCCTTATACGGAACAAAGTTGCTGATAACGAATGAAAAAGATTTTCTGCGGTGAAATTTGTGAGATTGTTAGATGGTAGAAATCGGAGGAAAAGGCTACGTACATCTGAGAACTACCACGCCTGAAAATAGAGCAGCTGTATTGACAGGGCACATACCTCTGGAGAATACAAGGGGGAGATGATGGAATGGAGCAGCGTAGGACGGTAGAACCAATGATGGAATGAGCAGCTTGATTTGTCCCCTTTAACGCGGGAAGAAACGCGGTGGGAGGACGGGATCGGGTCAACATCCAAGAGGCACCGTGTTTAACGACGGCAGTTTCCTTTGTTTATAATTGCCGGCCGAGGACCCTTGAATGATGTGCCCTTTGTATTACTCCAAAGTCCAACGTCTTTTTTTGGGTCTTATTATCCGCAACTATAATATATACTACTCCCCATCGTGGACCGGACCGGCCAATTGACGTGGGCGACGTCTCGTAGCTGAGCTTTACCTATCTCTCGATGATAAAGTTTCCAAGGGGCGACGTACCTCTTGCCTAGTACTACTATATACAAGTGTATTCCGGTGGCTTTATAGAAGAGCGAGTGGGGGTTGTGACGCTCTCCCGCCCCCACCTGTGCAACGCATACGTCTTTTTTGTTAGCAACCAAACGCATATTCCTTTTGTGCTTCGCTCTCAAGACTCCGTCAACACTTTGCTTTTATACGAACGCTAATAAACTGCCAAAAGAAAAATAAAATAAATGAAGATTTTAAAAAGGAGGATTTTTTTTATTTTTTGAAACGGTGGGTGAGCGTGGCCCCCCACCTAAAAGAAAGGAAGATTAAAAATGGGCGTTGAGCTACCAGAAGGAGTCAATGTCTTCTTCGGCATGTTGATGAGTTAATTGATCAAGATACTAATTGCTGGGATGAACCACTTATTCGAGACATTTTCATGCCTGTTGATGCTCGGAATATTCTCATGATTCCTTTGAGTGAACACTTGCAGGAGGACTTTGCGGCTTGGCATAAAACAAAGTCCTTTGTCTTCTCGGTACGGTCTGCTTATTACATAGAATGGGAGCACCAATTTGGCGCAAGAACAAGACGAGAAGATGGACAAGGAGCATCAAACCCGAATCTTGTATGGGATATCTTATGGAAGCTTTCAGTCCCTAGCAAAATCAATATTTTTGTTTGGAAAGCCCCATATGGCACTGTCCCAGGAAAGGCTATTCTTGTTGCATGCCACATTCCCGTAGCGCCTATTTGTCCGATTTGCAAAGGAGGCCCAGAAGATATTCGCCACCTTCGGTTCACATGTAATCATGCTCGGGAAGTTTGGCATGCTCTTGGCCTCGAGGAAGTAATTGATAATGCTCTGGTTGTGGACAGATCGGGTTCGGTAATTCCGGAGTATATTGTGTGTCATCCTACCCGGAGATCTCCCATCCTAGGGGGGCTCGGACTGCAGGAATCAATTGTCGTTGCATGCTGGCACATATGGTGGCAAAGACGTGAGATGGTTAGGGGGAAATCGGTGGCAGCCCCCCTAGAACTGCTTTTTCAATTGAAGCTTTGACAGCGAATTATGAAGTTTCATCTCACCCCAGTGCACCGCATGGAATATCTTGGACAAAACCTAGACCTGGATGCTACAAACTAAATACAGATGCTGCATTTCAGGATAATGGTACATGTGCAGTACGGATTGTCTTGTGAAATAGCATTGGTGAAGCGGTTGCTGGTACAACTTGTCTATTTGTCTCTACTCTTGATGTAACCTCAGTAGAAGCTTTGGCAATGTTGAAGGGGCTGGAGCTGCTCAAGAGGTTGGGTTGCACAAATATTATCATTGAATCTGACTCGTTGGAATTGATAAATGCATGCAAGGGTGAGGTTGATATGTTCAGTCCATATACAACAACCTTGGTGGAATGCTTTGCTAAAGCCCAGACGATTGATGGTATCTCTTTTGAGTTTTGTCCTAGGGAAGCTAATCGGGTGGCTCATCATCTTGCAAAACATGCTTATGATAATCAGTTAGAGTTTAGTTGGGAGGGTGATCCACCATCTTTTTTATTGCCTTATGTTTTACACGATGTAACCCTATTGACAAAGCAATAAATCATCGAGATGCTTTCCCACTAAAAAAGTTCCATTTGGAGGTTGGGGCATGCTCTTGCTTGGAATCCTTCCAAGGCGACGCCCATGGGATGGATGAGGCACACTAACACCCGCCACCTGACCTCTCCATCATCATGTGCGCGGCCGAAGCCCTGCTTCCTTTGAGCGGCCATGACCTACACCGTGCTGACTAAGCGAGTCCTAGATTGAGGGTTCCTCGGCCCATCGGCTCATTGACTATGGACCAGACTGATGGGCTGCTATGGAGCCAAGCTAGAGTGCGGACTTGTGGAAGATTAGGCATGATCTTTCCTTCATTATAACCGACTGTATGTAACCCTACCCCTATCAGTGTCTATATAAACCAAAGGGTTTTAGTATTTAGGGCTAGAGCAACATCCAACATCCCATCAACTTAGGTTTAGCTTGCCTAATCTCGAGCTAGATCGACTCTGTAACCATACCATACACATCAAATGCAATCAAGCAGGACATAGGGTTTTATCTCTTAGAGGGGGCCCACCTAGGTAAACACCGTGTTCTTCGTCCCTTGTTCCACATTGATCCTAGATCCACAGCTCGGGACCCCCTACCCGAGATCCACCGGTTTTGGCACCGACATTGGTGCTTTCATTGTGTTCCATTGCGGATCGCCAAAAGGTCAATGGGCCAACTATCTGTTGAACCCTGTTTGCGCCAGGGACATCTTCGTCCCTGGCCAGATCCTCATGTTCGACAGCCTCACTTTTTGCACCGACCCCACTGGCCGCTTGGGCCAAGTTGAGAACCTCACCCCGATTATGGATCCAGCTACCGGAATTTAGAGTCAAGCGCTGGTGTAGGTGTCAAAACCGGCGGATCTCGGGTAGGGGGTCCCGATCTATGCGTCAAGGCTGATGGTAACAAGAAGTAAGGGACACAGGTATTTACCCAGGTTCGGGCCCTCTTGATGGAGATAAAACCCTACTTTCTGCTTGATTAATATTGATGATATGGGTAGTACAAGAGTAGATCTACCACGAGATCGTAGAGGCTAAACCCTAGGAGCTAGCCTATGATGGTATGAATGTAATTGTGATTGGCCTTCTAAGGACCAACCTCTCCGGTTTATATAGACACCGGAGAGGGCTAGGGTTTACATGGAGTCGGTTACAAGGAAGGAAATATAATATCCGGATCGCCAAGCTTGCCTTCCACGCCAAGGAAAGTCCCATCCGGACACGAGCCGAAGTCTTGAGTCTTGTATCTTCACGCTTCAATAGTCCGGACGTTGTACATAGTCCGGCTGTCCGGATACCCCCTAATCCAGGACTCCCTCAGTAGCCCCTGAACCAGGCTTCAATGACGATGAGTCCGGCGCGCAGTATTGTCTTCGGCATTGCAAGGCGGGTTCCTCCTCCGAATTCTCCAAAGTAATTATCGAATACGTAGACCGTTTCCGAATCCGTAAGATGATCTCCGTATGGTATAGATCTGATTTGCTGGCAATCTTCGTGCGTCGTGCCCTTGCATCGTGGCTCGGTCCAATGTGAACCGACGTATCCTACCCCACGACGACTCGTGTTACGAGGCAGTTTTATTGGCACGTCCCGTCAAGGCAGAGATCGTGTCCCTTTCATTACGGGATTTTCCATCAATATGAGCATGCGTGACCCCACGACGGCCGTTGGTATTACCCCGTGTGTTTTTAGATAAACCTCAAACGGTCACACCGGGGACTCTTGATATTCACCCTCTTTATAAAGGGGTCGAGACCTACACCTCTTTCTTCACCTTCATCGCGCCTTCTCGCACCTCGAGTTCTAACACCCAAAACCTAAGCTCCACCCCTCCAGAATCCGCCAGTATTTCCAGATCTGATCCTCAAGGCTGGTGGGTCGCCTCCTCGATCGAGGAGAAGGACATTCGAAGCTTAGGGAGGTCGGATACCTAACCGTAGATATCCAGCACAAGCTTCCTGCTCCGGGGCAAGTTATCCCCACGCCGGAGCCCAATGAGTGTGTTGTTTTTGTCCCACACTTCCTCCGTGGTTTAGGTTTCACTCTCCATCCTTTCGTGAGGGGATCATGTTCTATTATGGGCTGGATTTTCATGATCTAGCTCCAAATGCCATCCTCCATATCTCGTCGTTCATTATCGTGTGCGAGGCTTTTCTCCATGTCACGCCACACTTCGGCTTATGGCTCAAGACCTTCAATGTGAAGCCGAATATGATCGAGGGGCGACACATGGAGTGTGGAGGTGCTGTAATAAGCAGGAACACCGATGCCCCATGGCCGGAGGGTTCTTTCCTAGAAGTATCTGACGTATGGCAGCGGAGGTGGTTTTATGCTATGACCCCAAGGGGCACAAAGTGGGTAGCCTCCCCCGAGTTTTGCTTGGGCCCCCCGTTGCAGTTGGCGTCCTGGACAGACGTAGAAGATAATTGGGGACCCGCAGGCGACGTACCAATATTGCAGAACCGCATCCGGGAGCTTCTCGAGAGGGATATCAACCTTGTCAGCGTAATGCAAGTGATGTTAATCCGGCGGATGTTGCCGTGCCAGCGCCGGCCTCTTCGGATGTGGGAGTTCAATCCGGAGGGTCCGCGGACTGTGAAGCACTTCTTCGGCTTAAAGCTCGAAGAGATGTG